AACTCAAATTTGAATGATGCCTGGTTGTGGAATTGAAAAGGGCTGATAACCTTTCTGAATGAAGAACTCCAGAAGAAATTTTGATCAAGTAACTTATAGTAGTATATATATATAGAAACGATCTCTTGTTCTCTTTGAACTTGCAGCGTTACTCATTCTATTTTTTGGTTAACTATACTCTGTTTATCTTTCAAGATCATGGTTGCTTTAGTTTCCTAATACAAACGTTAGCTGTTTGGCTGGGCTTGTTCCTGTTACCAACATTTTGATGCCTGTGGTACTTTTAACTAATAAAGCAGGTCAAAGCAGTAGAGTTTCTAGTTCGGGAATCGATGGAATGAAGTTACAAGTAAGAGTTCTTCACTCTGATATTTTGAACCCATTCTAATCGTTTTGGTCGTAAATTTTTATAACTCAAACTAACTTTTGCTAGGTTGTGAATCCAATCTAAACTAACTCATAAAACTGGGTTCGGTTTGGTTTGTTACATTCTATCGAGTTCAATTAAATTCATTTTTCATATAGGTTCTAGCATTCATGAACTATGTTGCATGTAGAGATATCCATTTAACTTACTTTGAATAGGTCGGAGAATCATCGTTATTCTAGTCTACAGTAAGTTAAATAGTTTTTAAAGCACTCAAGTTCGAAGGCTGGAAAAAGTAGAATGGTGCAAGAGAATATTTATTTAGAGTTTAATGTTCTTCGTAGAAAGAACATACAGAACAATGGTGCCTAACACCGAAGTGTTAAACTAAAACAACGCCTTCCGTGATAGTAATAGCTTTCCCTCGCAGCAGAACGTTTTCTTTCTGCTCGTCTAGATGGACGTTCAGTATTCCACTTCTAGGTGATGCCTAGCCATACAGAAAGAACGAAAGAAAAGTTAAATGAACTGGCTAGAGAGAGAGAGAGAGAGAGAGAGTACCATATAAGCCACATATAAGCCACAAAATCAGAGAGTACCATATATGCCACAAAATCAGATTTTCCCAACTTTTTGGCCCAGTAGACTGCCAAAGCACAATGAGCCCGACCACATACAGCTTCCTGGACACACAACACACGGTATATAAGAACGTGGTAGTTTTGAGGTGTCTTGGGGCACTGATAGGAATCATGACCCTCCACAATGGTGTGATATTGTCCATTTTGAGCATAAGCTCTCGTAGCTTTCCTTTTGGGCTTCCCCAAAAAGCCTCGTACCAATGGAGATGTATTCCTTACTTATAAATCTATGATCATTCCCTAAATTAGTTAACGTGGGACTTCCTCTCAACCATACACAGAATTTGAAGAGTTAATACCTCATTGATCCCAGATTTTGGGCAGAACATACGTGTATAAAAATCAAATTTTGACTCAGCCGAGGGAGAGGGTGCTCCAGTTATGATTATCCCACTTCCGGGACACTTCTTTATCTCATCAAAATTTGGTTCAAAATCTATTACGTCTTTTGCTGAAGGAAGAACAACCTGCAAAATGTTGTATAAGTAGTGATTGTTCTTGTTGTATTATGAAGTAGATATCAAGATAGGGACGAGCAATATGAAGCGCTTTACCAAGAAATTATCGAAATTCTTTGAGACAACCATCTTTATGTCGATCATAGAATCAACATTCAATGCTTTGGAGATTATAGAAGCATTAGCAGAATTGACTTCGATCAATGGAATAGTTGGAAATTCGAATTCAATAAGGTAACTTTCGTGTGCTTCACTGTTATGAACGTTTGGAACTCGAAGTGGCTTGACCTCTGAAACCCTTTTAGTGGTTAGATTTCCTAAAAGCGTTGAAAACTCGATAGTGTCTGAATTTACTAAACCATATGAGAAGAGTGCGTGTGCTGCCGCTAGTGTTGCATGACCACACATCTCAATCTGGAAAAACTTGTGTAATCAGTACTCGGAGCATTACGTTCAAAATAGTTGATAGTGAAACGAAAGAGGGGAAAAGGAAAACCTCAGTGACCGGAGAGAACCATCTGAGGCTAAACTTAGAGGGTTTCAACGAATCATTGGTTTGTTCTTTCTCGTTTATGCGAATCAAATAACACGTTATTGAGATATTAAACTCAGCAGCCAAAGCCTGCATCCATTCATCTTCTTTTTCCTCCTCTAATATACAAACAGCCGCTGGATTTCCCTTAAAAGGGGAATCAGCGAACGCATCAACCTATTTAATTACAAAGCTCAAAGATCAATTCTTATTTAGAATCAACAGGAATCAACCTATTTAATTACAAAGCTCAAAAATCAGTTCTTAATTTAGAATCTACAGAAAAGAAAGAGAGGTTAAAGTAAAATACCACAAAATATTTGATTGCTTGTTTAGCAGCCATGGTTGAAGGCGAGAGAGAAGAAGAAGAACAAGTTTTTTGTTCGTATATTTTATCTCCTCACTTCCTCCTCTATTTATGGAGAAGAAAATTGATTATTTCTTAAATAGAAATATCCATTTAATTTTATTGATAAATAATAATAATAATAATAATAATAATATTTTTTTTTAATTTAAAAAACATCTCACTTTCAATTTTTTTTTTTAAAAAATAATATTCTTGCTATTAATAGATAAACAGAATGTTTTTTATTATTATTTATTTTTCTACTTAAAAAAAAAAAATTTATTCCTTCTACTCTTGTTCATCTTTTTATTTTTTGAAGCATTTGTTCTTGTGTACCATTGTTCCATCATTTTCGTTCTTTTCCACTCGAATTTTAGGATGAAATTTCTATTCAAAATGCATAAATTTATATAATTTTTTTTTATTGGATATAAAATTTATATCCAAATTTGATAAATAAACTCGATGGTCATTTAAAAAGGAAATTAGATAGTATGAAAATATATAGACTAAAATGAATAAAAAAAAATACAAAAACAAAAATAAATATTTTGAAATTGTAAAAATCAAAATGACTGTAACTAAAAGTAAATGGATCAAAAAGGAAATTTATTTTTGCAGAATAGCTAAATGGTCATTAAAGTTTATTTGTATTGATGAAACGTTTGAAAGTTTAATTATTTTTTTTTATCCAAAACAAATAGTTATAATATTTTTCAACGGTTTTTTTTTTTAGTTTTAAGAGTATTTTTTTAAAAGTTTAAAATATTATTAAATTTTTTGAAATTTCAGAGTTATTTTTATTAATTTATATTTAATTAAAAAAAAAAAAAGGCATTTTCACAACCTATAATATGCCATGATATTCTAAAAGTTCAATAATTTTTGGTGTATTTGTGGATTTTAAAATATAATATATATTTTTTTCACACCACCTTTAAAAAAAACGTGTAATATATATTTTGGTTCTTCTTCTTTGGTTCGTTTAAATCCTTATAATTTATGAAGCATATCTTTTTGTTCCTTTCACTTTTAAAAAGTTACCGCTTTCTTTCATTTTCATTTTTTTCACTCGAATATTAAAATAACATTTTATTCACTTCATTTCTTACCATTAACTATAAATTTATATTAAAAAGTTTTTATTATATTGCAAATAAAATATATGTTCAAATTTGATTAATACAATATAATGGTAACTTTTTTTTATTTAACTAGATTAAAATAACCTTGAGAAAAGTATATGGACTAAAATAAAAAAAAATTTAATGAACGGATACCAAAATAAATATTTTAAAACTATAAATAACCAAAAAATATAATGAGGGGCCTTAAAAAAAATTCAATGATCCGAAATCCTTGGATTAGGTTTAAATAAATGAAAATTTTTATACGTTGAGTTGGTTCATGAGTTACTCTGAAATAAAATTAAGTTCAACGCATTTAAATTTTTTTTGTTAATTTTAAGTGATAATTTTTTTATTACAATAGAGCTATATATACACATTTATTTTTATTTTTATTCAATTTCATATATATATATTTATATTCTCTAATCACTAGAATAATTTTTAACTATTTATTTTATAACCTAATTTTTAAAAATGTATATTCGAATAAGCTTTTAATTAAATGTTTGAAAACAAATAATTTAGATGTTTTGAAACTAATATTTTACTTTTATTAAAAATAAAAATTTGAATAAACTAATAATCCAACCCGACCCAAAAAATTTATGGTTAAATTGAGTTAGGTTCATTATTTAATAAATATTATTTAATAATTGAATTGAGTAAAAAAAAAATTAAATTATTCAAATTAATATTTAAATATAAAATAAAAAAATATAATAGAAATGTTGAAATTAATATTTCATATATTAGATATATTAAATATAAAAGAAAAAAAATATAATTATTGTGCATACATTAAATTTTAAAACAATTAGGGTATATTAGAACATATATATTTGAATTATACATCCATACAAAATTATGATTTAAATAAAATTTTATATTTTAATAAATTAGATATTCAAATATATCTCACCTTTTGGTAGAACCAAATATGTATAATGCACTTTCTTCTCAAAATGAGAATTCTTTTTAGAACTCTATTTGATCACATTTTTCGACTCTAACATGAGATGTGTATATTAACACGTGTTTATCTAATAAAAGCAACAACCTCGAGTACAAATGATAATGCTAGCAGAAAATACCAATGAATAATATCGAAGTTAGTCAATTTTCTTCCTGTAATTTATGCATCAGCTGAGATAAACGCTTATTGTCTTATTTCAAAAGAAAAAAAAAGGAGAGTTCTTACTCTAAGTGGGAATTCTTTTTAAATTTGAGGAAGGGCCGAAGAAAACATCATCCAAATTCAAAGGGTAGTTGAAGTTGTTCTTAGAAAGAAAAGATATAATAATGGTGGTGTGTCTAATGTCACAATCGCACTTTTAATGGCAGCAGCCTTGCGATTGTGTGACACTCACTTTCCACCGACAAGTGAGCTAAGCCAATTCGTTACTGCATCGCCTACGGCTAAGCGACGTATGCTCGAGCCTCTGGCCTCGATTTTAAGAGAAGATTTTAGAAAACGAGGGTAGAGAGAGATTTTCGAAAGAGATGTTATATAAGCAAGCAAGAGAGAAATAACAACGGCTCACAATATATAACCTTAGATAGGGAGAAGTTGACAACTAGTTGTATCCCCCAATAATACATTCTGGGACATTTCATGTCTAACTTAGACATGATATTTCTGAAACGTCATACTTCCTAGAAATACAAAAGTAAAACACTAGAATATGAAAAGACATAAGGGCATTTCATGTCTAACGGGCCTAGATATGATATTTCTGAAACGTCATTCTTCTTAGAAATACAAAAGTAAAACACTAGAATATGAAAAGACATACAAGGTTGGGCTTGTCATGGGATGGCCATGGGCAACACGCTTTGGACGAGCATGATTGTGACATCTAACGCCAAAGCTTCAAACTAAAACAACACCTTCCATGGTAGTAATAGCTTTCCCTCGCAACAGAACTCTCTTTTTCTGCTCGTCTAGATGGATATTCAATATTCCACTTCTAGGTGATGCCTACCCATAAACAAAGAACAAAAGAACATTTAACTGAACTGAACTGCCTAGAGAGAGAGAGAGAGAGAGAGAGTACCATATAAGCCACAAAATCAGATTTTCCCAACTTTTTGGCCCAATAGACTGCCAAGGAGCAATGTGCACTACCACATACAGGGTCCTGAACATGCAACACAGGCATAATAAGACGTAATCTATAAAGAGTTTCGTAATCCAACCCACTTCTAAGCCGCCAAACAACTTGGAAAACATCATTATTTGCATTTCAGATTCCAAGACTTCAATTTTGCGCATAATAAGAGAGGATTAGCATAAGCTAATGCATGTATTTCCTTCACAATTTCTACACTCAAACCATTATAACATCAGGGAAGATTGAAGATTTAATACCTCGTTGATCCCATATTTGGGGCAGAAGAATCGGCTATAAAAATCAAACTTTGAATCACCAAGAGGTGCTCCAGTTATGATTACCCCAGTTCCGGGACACTTTCGTATCTCATCAAAGTTAGGTTCAAAATCTATTACTTCTTTTTCTGAAGGAAGAACAACCTGCAAAATATTGCAATATTGCATAATTTAAATGGTTCAAGTTAAATAGAGTTGATAGCAGAAAATCAAGGACAATCGAAAATCAAACCAATTGAAGGGCTTACCAAGATATTATCCAAATTCTTTGAGACAGTCATCCTTATGTCAATCATAGAAGCAACATTCAACGCTTGGGAGACTGAAGAAACATCAGCAGAATCGACTTCAATCGACGAGATTGCTGGAAAATCCAATTCAATAAAGTAACTCTCGTGTGCTTCACCGTTATGGACATTGGAAACCCCATTTGGCTTGACCTCCGGAACCCTTTTAGCAGTTAGTTTTCCTGAAAGCGTTGAAAACTCAATGATGTCTGAATTTACTAAACCAGTTGAGAAGAGTGTGTGTGCAGCCGCCAATGTTGCATGACCACAGAGGTTAACCTGGAAAAAGATGTCTAATCAACAAGATTTACAGCAACAAAAGAATAATATTACCTTCATTCAACTATGCAGACCAAAAAAAAAAAAAAAAAACACCATGAACAAAACAAAGAGTAAAGCAATTAGTATTTGCTGCGTGATAAAATAGAAACTAATGCTACTTGATAAGATAATGGCCGCATCCCATCAATTTTTGTATAATTCAACAAAAGGAGAGATAGATTATACAATAAGGAAAGAATTTAAGAATATAAGATTTGTTAAATTACAAGTTTAATCATAAACTTTTAGAGTTATGTTTATTTAGTCTTTGTACAAAGTTTCTGAACTTACAAGGGTTTAGGCCATTACTAACTCCATCAGTTATCTAATAGGTTTAAGCAATTGGTCACATGAACAACAAAATTCAGACAGAGAACCAATCAAATAAAAGTAAAAGTTCAAGGGGCCTATCAAAATCCTCCTACAGTATAAAGACTAAATGAATGGAACTTCAAATGTTAAAAAAATCTACAATACAGGGATTAGATTCACAAACCTCATCAAACTTATAATTGAAGCTGCCAATTTTTTCCCCCATTCTTATCCCTTTGAATTAGATATGATCTTCATCACAAAGCAATTACTTGGTAAATAAATAAATATATGATTGCTGCTACAAATAGCAATTCAAATCAGTTTTCAGTTCTAGATGTATTTTTCTCTAAATTTCACAATACTCGAAGCGTCAAGGTCAATTTCCATCTAAAACGAAAGTAGCAGACGCAATTTTTTGTTTCATAACTTCAATCAAACAAAATCAGAGCAATTGTTCAAAACAGTCGACATTGAAACGAAAGGGGAAAAGGAAAACCTCAGTAACAGGAGTGAACCATCTGAGGCCAAACTTGGGCGGCTTGAGCGAACCATCGGTTTCTTCTTCCTCGTTTATGCGAACCAAATAACTCGTCTCTGAGATATTGAACTCAGCGGCCAAATCCTGCAGCCATTTATCATCTTTTTCTTCCTCTAATAGACAAACAGCCGCCGGATTTCCCTTGAAGGGAGTGTCAGTGAACGCATCGACCTGTTTGATTACAAAAACGAAAATCAGTTCCGAATTAGAATCCAAATAAGAGAAAGAGATAGTTAAGGTGAAATACCACGAAGTACTTGACAGGTTCCTTCGGCATTGTGGAGGAAGGGAGAGAAGAAGAGTGAGAACTGTGACTGTTGCAGAGAGAAGAGTTAATGAAGGCGAAGACGAACGAGGAAGAAAGTCGAGAGCCGCCTCCTCCATTCCGTCACTGCTTACGAAATTTTAAAAAACACACAACTTTTTATTTTGGTCAATTCTCATTTGAATTATTTATTTTGGTCGTTTTTTTATTATTTAAAAAGTGATACTTATTCAGTTAAAATAACCGTGCATTCCTATTATTCGTAAATATCGAATATTCTTAATTTTTATAATAATTTTAAAAATAGGACAGACTCTCAGGTGGAAATGAACTATATTTGTTAACCCAAGATCCAACCACAAAGTTAACTCAAGACCTAACCACAAATTTTTATAATAATTTTAAAAATAGGACCGACTCGGGTTGAAAGTGAACCATATTTTATAGATGGGCTAAATTAACCCAAGATCCAACCACAAAGTTAATTCAAGACCTAACCACAAAGTTCGAGCTTATGAACTAAACCAATTTTTCTGTTGTACACAAATTTTGAACCATATTTTATAGATTGGCCAAGTTAACTCAAGACCCAACCACAGAGTTAACCCAAGACCTAACCACAAAGTTTGAGCTTGCGAACTAAACCAATTTTTTTTTGTTGTACAAAAAAAAAAAAATCAATCCCAACTCGAACCGTGTTGGGTTAGAGAGTCTAGATCCAACCATAAAGTGAGCCTATGAACTAAACCAATTTTTCTGTTGTACAAAAATTCCACAAAAAATAAAGAAAAAAAAATCTAATTCAACTCAATCCATACGTTTTGAGTTAGATGGTCCAGATTGTTTAGATCGTTTAGATCATTGGATCATACGAGTACCACTCGATAAACATATATTTTTGTAGGACAAAGTTCAAAGTGGAGGAATATTCTTGAGCATTTCAAAGTTTAGAAGTAAAAAATACATAAAAATTCAAAGCTTAAGAACATTATTGAGATTCATTCCAACGTTCAAAGATATTTTGGTATAATTTATTCACATGCTTTTGCAAGCATGTTCAAAAAGAGTACTAAATGTCATTTTGTGCAGAACTTTATGATTAAAAATTCATCTCATCTACATTAATTCGATCAATCCACAATCTTTCATCACAAGAACAATTCATCATTTGCCCACAATTTCAGCCACATTTATCGATCAACGCCATAATAATACTCGGTCGAACCTGATCGAACTAAGAGAAGGAAGGCAGTTTTTGAATAGGAAACAAGGTATTTATCTATTCAAATGATACTCATGGTACAATTGGTGCCAAAAGAATGAGTGTCCAGCAGCAGGATTTGAGCAACTCTACACTACCTACACTCTAAATATACCTTTGATGTTATGGTAACGAGCATTAATTTATAGCTATCGAGTTTCTTTACCTAATGAATCGAAATTACCATGTTCCTTCTTTGGACATTTTTAGAAAATGGGTCAGAGTAATATTTGGGATCTCGACCAAGGCCTTCTTCTTCCTTGTTACCCGAGTCATCTTCGTAGAGCTGCCGTTCTTCAACTCGGGAACCGTCACAGAGTCCAAATTGTAGAACTACCAAGAAAACAATTTGCATGATGTCAAAATGATTCAGCCAAATATTAAGCTTATTCAGACTAAATGTACAAAATAGTACAACGACTTGGAGGACTCCAACCTCTGACCTCTTTTAGTCGAGAGTGTTGTCTCAGAGTACATAGGGACAAGTTTTAAGATTTATTATTAGTAGGACCTAAATTAAGATATTTGAAAGTAACGAGACTAAAATGAAATGAAACTCAGAGTACATAGACTAAAATGGTATTTCAACCTATCAAAATTTCGAGATTAATATGTCCTTTAACGTACAGATGTAAATAAGAGCAGTTTGTGTAAATTTGAACGGCTTTTATTTTTTCGGATAAGTTACGGTGAATCAGGTTGTACGAACTATGAAGTAGATCTCATGGTTGATCATGCTTATTTCCTTAAACTTAAACCCGGAGGAAATACCTCACAAACTCCATGTAGCAATAATCTGCGGAATGGGTCTCGAACCCGCAACGTTAGGACATCTTCTTTACTACTGTCCAAAACGAATGATCTTATGCTATTCTGAAAAACAAAAATGCAAGAAACTTATTACCAAATTATAAGTTAACTTGATCGATGCCTTGCTAGTTGCCACTCTTCAACAAACATTCAGATTCGCGATCAAGTAAAAACAATGTTTTAAAGATGGAGAAAAAGCTTAACCTACCATATTAATCACCCAGTAAATGCAGGGTAAAAAAAAAAAAAAAAAAAAAAAAAACTTGAGACTTTTTCTACACATACATACCTCAAAAGCTTCGACAAGCTCTGGAAGAAAGCTACGGCGAAGTGCTTCTCTCGTTTGACACTCAATTCTGCGCCAGGCATTCAAGAAAGCCACTTTGTCTGCATCAATATGACCCTTTCTCTTAATGGATGAGTTCTCCAAGACTCCAATGAACTTAGCCTAACAAGAAACTTACATAATTGGATTATGTTCTTAGATTAGGCATCTGCTTTACCGTTCTTTAATTTCCGAAACATTCAGCTGTACTGAGGATCACAAAAATCAAAAGGGTAACATTAAAGTGAAAAGTAGAAAGACCTCTTTATCCATGTCAATACTCCTAAACTTGTCCCAGTCTCCTGCATTAGTCGTGGAGAATGTTGTGGGCCGTACATTGTCACCTGCAAAGTAACCTCAAACCATGATGAATCCTTTCACCAGGGTGAGGAATTTCTAGGCTCGAGTAAAGGGATCGATAAAAGTTAGCATAGACGAGATGAGAAGATATAGCCCTTCCCTCAAGGAATTAATAGTAAAGCCACTAGATATGACTTGGCAAATGCAACACTTATATTATTAAACCATTCAAAATAGCTACTACTTCTAACAGGTGCTAAGTTTAGTAACTGATAAATTGGAAGTTTACTGAGAACTCCTAGGGTTTATATATCATAGTCTAGATCACTATATGCATAATAATATCTTCAATGTTCATAAAGTATACGTGTACGGTAGGATTTTTTGTCTCTTGTAATTATGTTTTATAGGATTTGTGTTTTGGTACGCATTTCATCATATCAATGATATGTTTTCTAATTCCTATTAAAAAAGGTGTTAGAAAGGTTTTGATGGTCTTTCGAGAGAGGAGGGGTTTTTGAATTCTCTTGCCTTAACGAGTTGCGAAGAATTATAAAGCTTCCCCTCGCTCCCAAGGATGCCGAAATTAAAGACCATCCAGAAAATTTATCTCTTACATCTCCCTCCTTTCCCTAAGTAAGCCTTCCTCGCCTAAGTCTTCAGCCCCCCAACCAACTAATTACAAAATCAATCTCGACTCTCTTTCCTCATGTGCCTTCTCTCGTATAGATTCCCTAGGGGGCTATCAAAAGAACAGCTACTTTGATGCCTTACCTCAAATCCTAAAGCATAACATAACAAAGGTGATGAACAAAAGAAGGCTCTACCTTCTGAAACATCTAGCATTTATATTATTCAGAAATAACTCTAATCACAGCTTGCATAGTTACGAAAAAGGACATTGTCTTTATACGTATCACACCCCAAGGTGGTGGAGCAAACAAGCCTCTAATTTCTTCAGCATTCAAACGAGGAACAAGCTCCATCAAAAGACGATCATTTAACCATCTACGAGTCTTCCTATTAGTAACCTGAAAAGAGTAAGGAAAAAAAGTTAGAAGTAAACAAAAAAAGCGAGTTGCCGTGGACAAAGACTAGCAAAAATTAAATAGGAAACTACAGTATTTATTTATCATTGGGGGGAAAAGTTAGTTTTCTTAAACAGGAGCATTTTAATAAGCTTTTGGGAGGTGATAATAATATGAACACCAGCAAATAATACAAACGATATGCACTTTTTTACCTCATATAATAAGAGAGTTGTCACTGGTATCACTAGGCAGCACATTTAAGCGTCGAGATGAATAGTTTCGATGGAATTCCAACCTCAAATTAGAGAACAGAAAACAACTACTTGACAACTTTGCCACACGAAGACGACTCCAAATAAAACTGAAAAGGTGACCATTGAGAAAATGACCAGGAGAGGTTACTAGTTTTCCCTTAAGATGGAGCCAATCACATTAGCATGCAAAACAGAACAAAACAAACACTTAGATTGATATCCATAATATCCCCAATTAAGCAGTGCACTTCTATTTCATCCCAAGCACATTGCAAAAGCATCATGTCGCATTAACAAAGCTATAATCAATACAAGTAAACAGCTCACAGAACAGTCCTGATGGAGATCATTATGGCCTAAGAAGAACAATTGCACCACTTCCAAACACCCTCACCTTCCCTGTCAAGCTCTCCAGAAATTCTATCTTCTTCTCGATTGACATATCCCGAGAATCCATATCACCTGGGAAATTAACTCAATAAGACGACTGAGAGAAATATAAATCCCAAAGAAAATGTCAAAATCATATAACTGAAACAGGAAAAATCATTCCGGGTATAACTAAATCTACATATCGGATCCTTTATCAATAAGCAGATATGATTAACAAAAGAGAAGTACCTTTGAGTGGATCACTGAGAGAGGGAAATGTAAAGCGATTCTCTTGTCGTTTAAGAACATCAGTAGACGCCATGATTGGAGTGGAAAACAGAGAATCTGATCGAAGCTCTACTCGTGCTCCTGCTCCGTGGATGGGATTGAAAATCTTGTTCGGAGACGGAAAGGGAGAATCGGCAAAAGGTGAAGATGAGGAGATCAGAACAGTAGCGCAAAATCGAATCCAAGGCTTCGAAAAGGAGGAACAAACAGAGCGTTAGAAATTGCAAGAGCAACCGAGACAAGGATTCGATACGGGAAGAGTATTCTCTTCCAAATGGGATTGAGAAAGCGTCTTTCTCCGCCGCTCACCGCCACCGAGACTATTCATGAAATGACAACAATACCCTTCTGACGACAATGGCACGCGTGACCCGACCCGACCCGCCTGCTAAAAAAAAACAAGTAAAAACGTTATACTCTGGACCATTAGGATGTTGCTTGTTTAGGCATGCTTATCAGAACATTCTCGACAACATCGATCTAAAATTATCGAGGCCCGATGACTCTTCTACCCTTGCCTACTCATGTGTGCATACCGTCACGAATCCAACTCTACGTCCAAATATCCGATCTATGAGAAGTTGCACAAATCGTCATACTCGATCATGTCATTCGCAATGTTCATCTATGCCACAGCACATACGTGTTGTGGGGTGATTCATTTGGGCTATGGGCCCTTCTAGTGGTGGGCTATGGGCCCTTTTAGTCCGTTCTTGGAAGAATAAGTCCACAAGTCTCAATTTTTTTTTACCTTCGACCTGCCCTAGACCTCATTTTTTTTATCTCGATACGAACCCTACTTTCGGGATTATACTCGAACGCTCTATTTTTCACCGTTGGAATCTGTAATTAACACTATTCCTACCACCATTGCTTCTAATCTTATTGGTGCGTTGAACAGTGCATCTTCCTTAGTTTCATTGTGATACTTATTTCTCGACCCTTAACATAACCTAATGGGTAACACTCATATCACCACCACTCACATATGGTCGTGACATTATTTACCTCGAACAAATTCCTCACCATAATATAATATAATATAATATATATAAATATTTTTAAATGAAACATAATATAACATATCTTTTAAAAGAAAAATGTCATTCAAATCTAGAAATAAACAATATTTTAATTAACTCAAATATTCCATTCAATGTTTTTTATTCCTAAAATTTAAATAATATTTTTTCATTTGAATTTGAAATAAGTGAGATTTGATTTAAAGATATCATATAATATTTTAATATGTATATATAAAATATTAAGTTTTAGCAATTAATAATTAAAATCACCTATTTTAAAATGATTGAGAACCAAATCAAACCGTTTTATGATTTAATTTATTTTTTATTTTTAAACTTTTAAATATCTTATTCCCTTTAAATATTTAAAATTATAAATTTTTTAATTTTTTTAAGTATTTCTTAGTCATCATATCTTTATATCTTCAGAATCGCTATCATTCCGATGTAGTCTCAGTTCATTCATATACTTTTCATTTTTAATATAATTTTTATTAAAATTTTATAAAAAAAATTTAATATTACAATATAGTTTTTAACAATTAAAAAAAAATGTACAACATCGTCTTTAATTTATATTAAACGGAGCTAGATAGACAATCGGGCAGGACTGGAATGGAGAATATAATCCCGTCTCCAACCCCATTTATTTAACGATGAATAATCTAACCTGAAATGAACATAGAAGATACAGTAACACTACGAACGACTCAATATCAAATACCGGAGATAATAGTAGCAAAAAAACGTTCTCCTATACTTCCAAACAAGTCAAGCTCCACATCGGTTTGTAACTTCGGTGCTTTTTGCACGTAAAAGTATTCATAGATAAGAAAGAGGGTAAGACCCTTATCCTTATCATAGGCACCACTCGCATGCCAAGCCTCTTGACTCGTGTTGTAATCATAAACTATGATTAACACTTTATTTGGATAATGATTGATTTGAAAGGCAATGCAATTAAGCTTAATAATTGATATTGCAATCATTTGGCATATGATTTTTTTTCCCTAAGTGATTTAAATGCTCTTAAGCTTGTTTCCTAGATTTGATTGAAAAGGTAATGATAATACTAACGAAAGTAGGTAAGAATCACGATAATATTATACCGAAACCACTCGATTAAGATCTTCATCTCAATCCTTCCCACTTTCGTCGTTTATCTAAAGTTACGGAATCTTCTAGGCTTGATCTACGTAGGGCACGTGTCTTATAACGGTTAGGTAGAGGTTTCTACACCCTTATAAGAAATGTTTCATTCCCCTCTCCAACCAATGCGTGATCTCATAATCCACCTCTCTTAGGGCCTAGCGTCCTCACTGGACACATCGGGTGTCTAACTTTGATATCATTTGTAACAGTTCAAGCTCACCGCTAGCCGATATGGTCCTTTATGGGCTATTCCCTTCTCCATCCAATATGGGATCTTACATGCTTCCTAGGAGTTTCTATGATTGAGTCGCCGGAAAAGAAAATCATCCTACCTTTAAGGTCACTCTCGTTTAAATATGGTATCGGTAAATTCCTATAACCCTTCTTTACTCGGATGTCATGTGCCCTTTCATGATTTTGAATTTTATGCACGTATATAATTAGTTTTTAAAAAATATATATTATAAGAGTTTCGTATCGTTGGTCAAAGACGTCACAGTTGATATCTAGCTTTCATACTGAATAGTTTGATTTCTCTCGGGAAACAATTCTAAGTCGATTTTGATGTTCGAGATGCAATTAGTGCACGCACGATGAACTAAACCGTGCACCGCTTTGTGACAGGCCCGAGAATTTAAAAACCGATTTTTTAGATTAAACGATCCTTGGGGCATGATATAATTTTAGAACTATATATGATTTTTCAATAACTTTATAAGGGAACCATATCTAGAGATATCATGGATCGTGAAAATGATATCTTGGAGAAGGGAATCAAATGGTGTCTTCATATCCCACTTACTACAATGATAATTGGCCATTTATGAACTAAGAAACTCCTAGAATACAAAATGAACTGAATTGAAAAGATCGTCACGTACCGAAAAAAACGTTCGTCTAAAAATATTCAGACACAAATTGTTGTACGTTGAAAGAAATAAAAAATTTCTTCATTTATCACAACGATAGGGTTAAAGATATCTGGTTTCGATTGTTCGGTACGTTTCAAATCATACTGTTATACCTAACCCTAAAAGAATGAAGTGACTTTTACTCATGATCGTTCAATCTCGAGCGTATCGAAACCAAATATAACTTTTATACTTTTAGCTTATAACATTGATCTCTTTCAAATTATTTTCAACGCATTTTCTCGCTTATGTTTTCTAAAAACTCGAGTTCGAGCATACTCCAATATTGTTCATAACATCGAATTTCACATGGCTGACTTCTTCGTTGGATTAGAACAAATGTTGTATGTTGTCCGTTTAGGGCCAGCATCTTCGTTGGCACACCGTCTAGTGTCTGGCTCTGATACCATTTATAACAGCTCAAGCCTACTGCTACCAAATATTTTCCATCTTAACCCGTTACATATGACCGTCAGCTTCACAATTCATACAGTTATAACGAACTTTCGTATTCAAATTCACCACATTTTAAAAATTTACGAACTTATTAAAATCGGTAGTTTGGCAATCACATCAAAGATGGAAAGTGTAAAGCACTTTCATTATGGTTTCAAGTCGATTTTAAAACTCAATATTCCCCAAGTTAGTGAGGCCAAAAAAGTCATATTCTTATGCAAATGGCTACTACCCATATCAAATCAATCATACCAAGAACCTTTAAATTTTTTTAACCCATTTTATTTTTTATTTTCAAAATCAAAACTTTTTTTAAAAATTTTATTGGGTTTTTTTTTTTTATAATTAAAATTAAGTTCTTGAACAAAAAGAATATGATCAAGAGAGAGAGAGAGAGAGAGATCTTGACCCACTTTTGAAGATCATGCTTATAAATGGCATACCCATTGACCCAAATGAGTATCCATTTTGGCTTCAAAACTTTGAAGGGAAATAAAGATTGATATCAAATTTGCCTTCCAAACCATTCATTGCTACTCATTTCTATATTCTCTCAATAAAGGTGAGGCCTTTTGTTCTCTCTCTCTCTCTCTCTCTCTCTCTCTCTCTTGATATTCTTCAATTTTTCTTGTCATATGATTGGCTAATTTTGGTATACTTTGATGATGAAATTATTAGATTTATAAGCATGAATGTGTCCACCATGTTCATGAGCAAAGAGATGATCACTCAACCATTGATAAATCTTCCTCCTAGAAGAATAAATACCAACCCTTTCTTCAATCTCCCAAAGCTCGGAAAAGAGAAGGTGGTGATCGTGATCGGCGCTACTGGCACGGGTAAGTCTCGGTTGTCGATCGACATTGCTACTCGATTTTCGATGGAAGTTATAAACTCTGATAAAATGCAAGTTTACGATGGGCTAGATATAGTTACAAATAAGGTCACGAAGAGAGAACAACGTGGTGTACCGCATCACTTGCTTGGAGTTATTGATCCCTTTTGTGACTTCTCGGCAGCTGACTTCTCTGATATGGCTATGTTATCTTTGGATTCTATTTGTAGCCGTGGTCGGCTCCCGATTATTGCTGGTGGCTCGAATTCTTTTATTGAAACCTTAGTTGACTCGAACTTTCAATCGAGATATGAATGTTGCTTTCTTTGGGTAGATGTGTCAATACCTGTATTGCAATCCTTTGTATCTGATAGGGTAGACAAAATGGTAGCTAAGGGAATGGTTGACGAGGCGGAAAAATTCTTTGATCCCGCTCGAGATTATTCTCGAGGGATCAAAAGGGCAATCGGGGTTCCCGAATTCGACTCCTATTTTCGATGCAAATCGTTCTTAGACGAGAAAACTCGAGAGAAACTCTTACAAGAATCCATATCAAAAGTGAAGGAGCACACGTGCAAGCTAGCATTGAGGCAATTGGGAAAGATCCAACGACTGAGAAATATCAAGGAATGGAACATACACAGACTGGATGCTACAGAGGTTTTTACAAAGCGAGGGAAAGAAGCCGAAGAAGCATGGAACAAGCTCGTCACTGCACGAAGCACAACGATAATCGACCAATTTCTTCATCCGAAGATCGTCACCGTGAAAACCCAGAAGAATTTAGAGTCCCTCCCCGTCCCCAGCGTGCCGCCGAAGAAAAGTGCAGCCATTGCAGCTGCAACTCCTTGAACAAGGAAGCCAAAAAACATTACAAGAAGGAATATATACATTACAAAAACTATAAACAATTT